ACGTAGTAAGATAATTTACATAACATTGCTACTTAAGTAGAAAAGAGAAGTTATACCTCTGTAGAACCAGAATATAAAAATTGGGTCTTTGTAAGATGCTGTTGGAGGCTTCTAAAAGATTTAGCTCGATCTAAATATCTACTATCTAAGATTAATGTTGTAAGGGAAAATATATGGTGAAATGGTCTAAATTCTATTTTCCAGCAAATACGACAATAGAGCATATACAAAATCGATATATTTCAAACAAACCTTAATGCCTTTCTTAATCCTTCAACGGACAACAATTTCACAGGAGCCGTAGAGGATTTTGGTAAGTTTGTTCTATCACCCACAGGGTTGACGTATATACCCTGTGACTTGCGACGATCTATGAAGGCTGTCCTTAAGTTCCTGAAACATGAAGATCAATAGAAATCATCCTAGGGAAAAATAACCACCATAAAACATTTTTAATGGCTTGAACAGGATTACCTACCCTCCTTTTAGTTCTGTTCTCGTAACTGAATATTGCTCCGATTTTTTCTTAAAGAAAAATCATAGTTAAGAAAAAAAAAATTGATTACTTTCAAGTATAATTTTCGGGTGACTTAAGCAAGACAAGAGTGGGTAATACGAGTTTACCAGTTTATGATAGCTGCAATATATTCCTTTTCGCCTGCAGGAGCAAAGAGATTTCTTAATTTATAAGGTAAAATAATACAAAAGATAGATAGATGTATGCCCATTCATAATAACTGAATCAGCATTTGGGAAAATATCACGAGAAGGTGAAATGGAAAGGGGACTACTACAATTTATTCTACGTAGAAGATGCAAGGGAAATGGCATTACTTGTTGATGACTAGGGTGCAAGCCATTCCATCCTTCCTTTTCCCCTTACAAACACCATAATCCACCGAAGTACCCATCTTTAAAATGTGCATTGCTGAATAAATACTCAACGAAAATCCATTTTCCTGAAGAAAAATGTATAGAAAAGTTGAGAGCTGAAGGATTCCCATGAAAATGAATCAACAAAATAAAAATTTTACCGAGTTATCCTTGCGAACACTGCAATTGAACAGAGCAAACACAGTTCCAGCTTTCTCATCACGATTTTTCTGATAAGCATCGCCAAACAAGAAAACAGAAATAGTCTTTTCATCCAAACATCCCATTTTCCAAATAGCAAAAGTCTTTCCTGTAGAACTAGTTCTAGGCTCTCCCTTTTCAGTTAAAACTCCAATAGTGGCCCAACACCCAGAAAGAGTATCTCCAATCAGAGAATTCCTAAGGTTCAAAAGGAATGCCATCGATAACTATATGCAATTGCATATAGGAAAGTACTTATTCAAGTGCTTTTTACGTACTTTAAAGCAGGTAACCGAACAAATCTTATATCTGACAAACGGTTGCTGAGTTCAACAGGTGATACCACCAGATTCCTGTAATAGACAAAATAAACAGCCAAAATAGTGGATAAATAGGTTCAACCAACAGTATGAATTCCCTTGGATAATTTTTAAGGACTGTGTCAGGGTGCCAGTTGAGATGTGACTAGTGAATACATCGAGAATGCAAGTCTAGCTAAATTATAACCCACTGAAAGCAGCTAAAGAAATAAGACATCAACCCTGCACTGTTAGTACTGCAAGCACGAGGACACAAAGCTTCATTCCTTGGCAAAGTGATATAAGATAAGATATCAAGCCCTTTAACTTTCTATTGAAGGGAGCAGAGAACTATAATAATTATGAAAGATTGAAAGATTCGGACAAAGAAGATGACAGCCACATAGTAGCATTCCTATGCTTTGATAACAACGCAAGCTACGAGCCATCAATTCATGGAATAAATAAAAACCGCATGCCTTTGAGAACTGTGGAGCCACATTGTATGTACTTCAATAATACCGGAGTCGTTTATTGTCCTAGCTACGACACGAGTCTACATTAGCAATTATTATAGATTGAATACAACTATATAGTATTTTGAATTTAATGTATATTGCACTGGACTGGATAGTGTTATATAAGATAAGAGTTAAAATCTTGTTACTGATAATGTCAAGTTTTGCCAAAACGGCTTACCAGACATCTTATTACAATGTTATCATCAAGCAAGTATTTTTCTACTAAACTGAAGCTGAACGTACCGAATTCGCAGACCTGAAAATTTCTCAACCTCAGCATCATTGGATCTCTTGTCCTGCTTGGACTTGAGAAATTTCTTGGCACTTTCAGTATCATAGTCGAGGCAATCTTGAACTGCATCCCGAAAGACAGACATGTCCCCCTGGCCCATTCGCTTCGGCAATCCATCATCCAATGAATATCCCGCATTCAAATCTATAGAATTCACATAGAAATGTAAACACAGATATAAATAAATCCAACAAATTGAAAATCTCAGTTCCCCAAATGCATACAATACGCCTATAATAACATCTAAATAAACTGTGAGCATCCCAAAATCTACAATTTTAAGTAAAAACCTAACAAAATAAAATCTTTAATAATCCATATATCACACGCGCACAAATACACACAAATTTGATCTGTGATAAAATCAGACTGACAAGCTTGCATAGAAATTACATGATTCCAACAAAATCTGACAAAACCCATTAATTAAATGTCGACTAATTACTTAATTTAATTAGAACAAGCATTTGCGTGTGTATTTAAGGGAGTTCGAAGGGTACCTGGAGAATGGGAAGGAGAAGCAGGTGGGGTTTCTAAAACGCGATCCTGAAGCGAAAGGAGGAGATCCAAATCGTCTTGATGTTTCGATTTTGACATGGTTTGAGAAAAAATAATATTCTTTTTACTGTGTTAGCGTTGATTGTCTGAATATGAAGTGTAATTAGGGTTTCCATAGTAAGTATTTTGGAGGGAGATTTAAATTTTTGGGGATGAATTTGGCCTTTTTTTTTTCCATTGGGTAAAGTTTTTCACTTATAACTAAAAATATGTTCCAAGAGTGATTAAAAATTTAAAAATGGGTAGTAACTGCTTTTAATGACATTACCACGTCTTGTTAGGGGAGAAATAAAGATTGAAAAGCTTGTAAACTCTTGACTAAGTTTGCCTCGACTCGATGCATGAATAGCTCGAGTTCATATTAAGATGAGTCATGAGCCGAGTTGAGCCAAGCCAATTCATAGGTTAATTTCTTTTGAGCTTATTTTATTAATTTCTTTAAAAGAAAGATGTAAGGCCCGACTCGATTTATAAAGTCCATTGGCCAAAGGATCAAGCTGAACGTAGTTTGTGAACACAAGTCAAGCTTGAGTGTATTACAGATTGAGCTGACTTGACTTGACCCATGACCATCCCTACGCCATGTTGAGAAAATTGGAGATGGGAACTTTATCGGTCAACTACCTTTTTTATGGAAGTTGAATTTCTTTCTATTTAAATTCATATTTATTTTCAATATACACACTCTATCTATGTTAACCAATCAACATTTTCATTTAGTACACAAATTGCCAAAAAAGAACAAAATGAAAATTCAGTGATTAACTTAAATTACGAAAGTAAACAACTCTATAATTTGGTTGCTACCAATGTGTCTTAACTATGATAAAAATGCTACTCAGTGGTGAGTGTTGGAGAAAATAATCAATTGCAGTAATGTGCAGAACTATGAAATACAGAAATATAAAACTTATCGTCCTATCGAGTCTCGTGACAGCACGATGTCCTGAAATGAAATTGCCTGTTGACAACTGCTGTGATCTCCGTGGACAATCACTCACAAGATACAGCAATCATAAGCCACTTGTACAGCAATCACGAATGATTTTTAGAACTCTCAAGACTCCAATCAAGACTTTTTAATAATTGCGTGGGGAGTGATCCGAATCCCTAACGTCCCACACAAATGCACATTTCTTACCACTTGGGCACTTCATCTAATTTGATTATTTCTTTCTCATTATATTTATACTATAAATATATAACAATGAGTTTGTCTACAATAATTTTAAATTCACAATCTTGTATATATATATATATC